ACTCAGACCCACTGTATATCTCTGCTAGCTATGTCTCCCAAACGTCCAAATCTCTCCATTTACTTCATTTCCATACTGATCACCAGATGAGGGCAAAAGCTTTTTAATGGTCTCCCTCTTTCTCTCCATAAAATCTCCTCAAATTTGTTTTCACCCAGAAAAATAGAGTGATCTCTTCAGAACATACATTAGATCACAATTCAATTCCCTTGCCTCAGCCACGGATGACCATTCAAGACACTCTCCTTAAAATAAAACCCAAACTTCTTATCTTACTTTGCCTCATGATGACCTACTCCCTGGGGGCAGGATGGTTACATCCTCTATCTCTCAATTTTATAAAAACAAACAAAAAACTGTGTTAGTATAGACAGAACCTAAAATTTACTTTCTTAGCCATTTTAAATTACGAGGGAGTGGCTTGTTGAGTAACCAGCACCATTGTCCTTTTGCAGAACTCTCTTCCTATAGCAAAAGTGAAACTTTGTACACATGAAGCAGTGTCTGTCCATTCCACCCCCAGTCTCTGGTTGCACCCATTCTGTTTTCTGAAGCTGTGAGTGTAACAAGCACAGGTAGCTCATGTAAGTGGAATCATAAAGCCTTTGCCCTTCTACAACTCTCTGGCTTCATGTAGCAGAAGATCCTAAGGGCTCACTCATTAGTGACGTGGAGTCTCCACTTTCACAAAGAGAATTGCAAGATTTTATGGTAATTCTACTTATAGTGTTTGGAGAAACTACCATGTGTTTCTAAAACAACTGAACCATCTTACATACCCACTGACTTACTCTGTTGTAACTTCTTTTCTTGACTGCTACCCTCCATGTTGCAGGTATAAGACCTTCTCTCGTTTCTTCAAATACCAAACTCCTTCTTGTGGAAGGACGCTTGCATTAGTTATTGTCTTTGCCTACAGAGCTCCTCACCCTGACATCTGCCTGCCTGGCTCTTATCATCGGGTTTGAACTGTATCTGGGAGGCCTTCCTCGATGAGTCCATTGTTGCGCCATAACATAGCACTCATCCAGATTTCATGATTTTCCTTATTTGCAAGAAGTTTTTTTTTCTTTTTTCCCAAATCTGTATTTCCAGTGCCTAGAACCAGGACTAGCATATAAAAGAGGCACACTAACTGGAGAAATGTCCCAGGAGTTAATCTAATAAATTTCCCAGTTACTACATGTGAACATTGCTCATTAGGGGAAACCTGTAATTATCACTCGAAGAAAAACATATGTTTTTAGAAACACACTAAACCAAGAGAGAATCCATAATTCCATACTATAATCAAGAATGGCAGTTGATCTGGTTATCATGATGATTCAGACTCCAGTAGAAATTTGGGGCCTTGTTAATTTGGATATTTCAGGCTAATTGTGTTCTTTGGTTTGAAAGTATCTCTATAATTACTCTAATATTCCTCCATGCTTCGTGTAGGCAAGCACTTTCCTAGAGATACTTATAAAACCTTTCATGTACCTCTGAACAGTGAATTTCAATTTTAGATCCAAAGTAAGGAGTACTCATGTCACATACCTTTTACAGCAAATTTTCTAAATTGATGTTTTATAGATCATTCCAGCAATAACCACTTCCATAACCCATAAGGTCAACTGTGTTAGAGAAAGCTCACTCAGGTAGCATAGAAGGAAAATTGTTATGTCTATATTTATATTAAGAAGTGAGTGGGAAGTCACAAATTGACTATTCTGAAATATGAACAATTTCCTTACATAGTTTTCAATATAATGAGGCCACATATTATGCATGGCTTAAGTCTAATATTGCCTTGACCAGTACTGACCTTCTGGCCTATGCTCTTAGTTGGATGATAAAGCCCACTAAAACTCTAGATCAAGCAGCATATATGCTTATATATTAACATCATTTATCACATATGTGGTTTGCAACTGAACTTTTTTATATGCAGTGAATAACAAAGAGGAAGAGCTGGCATTGTGGTATAGTGGGTTAAACAGCCACCTGCATCATTGAAATTCCATATAGGCACACATTGGTGTGCCTGTCCCAAATACTCCAGCTCCCTGTTAATGGGCCTGAGAAAGCAGCGGAGGATGGATCAAGTGCTTGGTTCCCAGCCACACATGTGGGAGACCCAGGAGGCTCCTGGCTTCAGCCTGGCCTAGCCCTGGCCATTGTGGCCATCTGGGGAGTGAACCAGGGGATGGGAGATTCTCTCTCTCTCTCTCTTTCTCTCTCTCTCCTCCTCTGTTACACTTTCAAGTAAATAAATAAATCTTTGAAAAAATTACAGAATAAAGAGTGAGAGTGGATACTAACAACTGCTTTTTTTCAAAAATCACTTGGCATTTGCATTACTACAGTATGCTTAAACCACCAGTGGGTGTGGGTACTTGGCATAGTAGTTAATATTTGGGATGACTGCATCTCCTACTGCAGTGCTTGGATTCAAGTCCCTCCTTCACTTCTAATTGCCATTTCCTACTCATGTGCACCTGAGAGGCAGCGAAAAGTGCTTGGGTCCCTGCCACTCACATTGGAGCAATGGCTTGAGTTCCAGGCTCCTGTTTTCAGCCTGGCCCATCTTCACCTGTTGTAGGCTTTTGGGGAATGAACCAGCAGATAGAAGATTTCTCTTTGTCTGTCTCTGTCTCTCTACCTTTCAAAAATAAACAACTGCTTCAGTGCATAAAAATCTATGCTTGCTAATGTAGCTAACTTCCAGAAGTTTGCACAAAGAGTGAAACATAGTTACTGATATATTTTCTTTTTATTCTAAAAGATGCTGAATGTTGTCATGCAAATCACTATGCATTCACAGTGTTTTTAAATTAATGTAGCAAATCTGAATATTTATTTTATTTTCTCAATATAAGATTAGGAAGATTACTTTGTTGTTTCAATAGCTACTGCAAAATGTCAAATGTGTTAAACTGAATTGTTAATAAAGCACATTACATTTCAAGAAAACTGGTGGGACTATGGCAATAGGGTTGAAAAGGATTAATCCATTCCTTTCATTTCTTTTTATTTCTTTTACTTAGGGTTTATAGTAGAAAACATTTCACAAGCATTGTGTTTCTGCTGTTACAGTTTACATCCACATTTTGCAACATAATTTTTTATGATGTCTTTGTATATTATTCCGCAGGCCTCTTTAGGGCAGGCAAATTATAGCTTGTCCATTTTTGCTCACAAAGGGGTATCTTTAGGAGAGAAAAGGCATCTTCAGAAAATTCTGTTGATATAGGCTCTTTACAATCTTTTGAGAAGCTGTTAGTACTGTAACTACTTTTAAAACTTTAATAAAATACATATTCCCATCTATCACTTAAGCTAGAAGCATGTGTATGGAATATGGAAAAAAGTGGTGGAGGGGATTACATCAGCTTTTGCAATTACACTGCAGATGAAAGCATATTATAATATTACCTTTAGTCATCAAATTCCCTTGCTTAACTTGGCATAGTTTACTTTCTGAGACTTTCAGCTGGGACAGAAATAATGAACACAGTTCGGATAAAGGTTCAAATGACTAATATCTTTGAGTACCTATTAATTCCCAGAAAATGTTAGGAACTCACTGCACTTTTCAAGTTTGGCTGGACACATTCTTTCTTCCGTTTCCTCCCAAAAGACTTATCAGATTTTCAAATAGGCTATATGCAGCTTTATTTGGCCTATTGAAACCTTTGCCGTAATCTATGGTAGCTGCTGTTTTACTTGCCTGTATTTCCCATTAGACTATAAACTCTAACAGTGCAGGTTTTATTTCTGCCATAGGCACTCATCCTTATACGCTGAACATCATTTAAGTACCCAACCTTGTAACATAAGTTGAGGACTTACAATGGGAGTGTTTTTATACATTGACTCATTACATCTTCTCAACACTATGTGATATTTTAAATAATATTATTTTCATTCTACAGGTGGGACTTTGGATAAGTAAAGGTCTTACAGTCTTTATAGCTAGGGTGTATCCAGTATTGATGTTAATGCTCCTTTTTACTTCCAAAGTTTTTAAGTTTTATGTACATCAATATGGGAATGCCAACCAATCAAAAAGGAAACATAGAGAAGTTAAATAATTTCATGAGAACACACAATTAGTAAGTAGTAGGACATGATATGAAATCAGGTTTGCAGAGCTTCAAAGCCTGTGTGGCTTTAATTTGGCCACTGCCTCTTTTCTTTAATGAAAACGCATTTAGCATAGAGGCAATAAGCTGTGGGTCAACTACCATCCTAATCCTGATCCTGAACCATTTTCTTAACCATTACCTAAGGAAGAACTAGTACACTGATTTTCCTTTCTAGTTAAATCATAATAAGTAATTCTTGGGCAAGATAGTTTTTAACATTTAATTTCCCATTCTGTTATTCTTACATCTGTTTTTATTTTACCTTTTTTAAAAGATTTATTTATTTATTTGAAAGTCAGAGTTACATACAGAGGAGAGGCAGAGAGAGAGAGGTTTTTTTCCACTGATTCACTCCCCCATTGGCTGCAATGGCTGAGCTGCGCCGATCTGAAGCCAAGAGCCAGGAGCTTCTTCTGGGTCCCTCATGCACGTGAAGGGACCCAAGGACTTGGGTCATCTTCTACTGCTTTCCCAGGCCATAGCAGAGAGCTGGATCAGAAGAGGAGCAGCCGGGTCTCGAACCATTGCCCATATGGGATGCCAGCACTGTAGCAGTGGCTTTACCACTATGCCACAGCACTGGCCTCTTTATTTTACCTTTTATTAATGATATATAATCAAAATACACTGGAAACACACAAGGAAGAAACCATTAGACTAAAAATGTATGATGCTACCATGCCTGAGTAAGGAATTCAATTTCATTGAATGTGAAAAGTATTTTAAACTCTGAAAAGGAAGATTGGAACAAATATGATGCATTGTGTGAGTGTTTATGGAACATGATATTAAGTCTTTCTTGAACAAAGTTTTGCCATGCTATCGTTTCTATTATGTGACATGCTGATGAATCCTCTTTTCGAATCCTAGAATCTCAAGTCCCTGATCAGCCAAGCTCTCTTCATGTGAGACCTCAGACCAACTGCATAATCATGAGTTGGACCCCTCCCTTGAACCCAAACATTGTAGTGAGAGGTTACATTATTGGATACGGTGTTGGGAGCCCTTATGCGGAGACCGTGCGCGTGGACAGTAAGCAGCGATATTATTCCATTGAGAGATTAGGTGAGTATCTGTGAGTTTCATTCATGGAAAAATTATTTGTTTTTCATTTTTTTTGTTTCTTGTACAATTTTTCTTTGGGATTATGATTTCAACTTGTATCATTTCTTAATTCTTGAAGCAAATCTCTGTTATATAAATAGACATAAATACATACACAGTTCCTGTTTGGATTTGGGGGATTGCGCCTCGAGATCCATACAGGAGGGTATCATGGCATGTGCCCTTGTTCATGTGTCATAGGGTAAAAAAATGCTGTGGATCATTTCTTTTTCCAGTGGTCAATAGAAACTTCTAATCTTAATCATTATTATCAAAGGAAAGTTGGCATGTTTTTCATCTTTATTGTTCTACCTGGGAGTATGTTCTGTCAAGTTTTCTTTAACCTTGGGTGACCTAGTCACACTACCTTGTTTTTCCTTGATGTTCATAGATAAAACTTTGGTCTATGGCATTAATAACAAGATGGAGAAAGGGATATTTAGTCATGACAATAAATTACAGTTATCAAACTCTCTCCTACAGGCATCCCTTCTCCCTCCCAAAACCAAGTTATTTTATTTCTCTATTTTGCTCAGCTCTACCTCTTTCTTTCTATTTTTCTTTAACTGAAGAATACCTCATTTGTCATATTTCTAAATTGATTGGAAATGAGTTCATTCAGAGAGCTCTAACATGTGTGAAGTAGTCATATTCATTTTATATTTTATTTTTCTACACTGCAGTAAGAGATTACATTATTAGCATAAAGAAACAACAGGAACACATGAATTATATCAGGATACCAATGAGTTAAGCAGTTCTCATAAAGCAAAAGGCAAGTTGATTCTACTTGGTGACTTAATTTCTGTGTATTATTTGCAATGAAGTACAATGAACCGTCTGGAAACCCAAACTCATGAGGGTTGGGAGGGGTGCTACTTACTTCCATGTCTCACACAAGCAGAGTTTTGTGATGAGAAGCCTGATTTGAATTTGAATAGCTAAAATGTAGTCCCAAGGAAAGATTTTCTCAGTGCAGGGGGAAAATTGTACTGACTCATTCTCTTTATAATTGCTTCAAACACTAATAAGAGAAGCAACTACTAAAAACTCTGCACACTTTTATTTAGATTCATATTTAGAAATAATATTCTCACAATGAATTCCTGAAGTTGGACGTAAAGGTAATCAGAAAACTCATATTTTATGGCCCTCAAACCTCTGTCAGGGGATACTCTCTTATCCATTATTCAATATACAACCTCTCTGAGAGTTCTTGGTGCCACTCAGTCGACAGAGGGAAGGAGGCTCCTGAGGCAATGCACACGCACCTGGCAATGAGAATGGGATGTAAACTCAGAAGGTAACCAGGACAGAAAAGTGCATGGCTTCACCATATCCTTTGAAAATGATGTCCTTTGTTACAAAAAAAAAAAAAAATCTCTCCAGGAAATTCCAAATCTAATAAAATTTAGGAGTGTGGAATATTAACATAGATAAATTCCCCAAGGGTTTAATAGGAGAAAAAGAAAAATCACTTTATAAGGTAGATATATATATATATATACACACATATATCCATTTAAAACTATATATGGATATATATATATATATATATATGGAGCTAGGAAATTGCTAAAGATAAAATAGAATATGAAACTATCTCAATGGTAATCATGAGTCTGTTGCTTGATAATGCAGTAGGAAAGATATTTCACACACACATAATGTATTTAGGTTCAACTACTTGACATTCTTCCTACATAGTTCCATGTTATAACATAAAATAGGGAAAAAGTAATTAACAGATTGTTGTTCATTAAGCATCTTCATAATTATGCAAATAAATTGACATTTTTTTCAATGTGTGCTTTCACTTTTTAGTCAAATTGTGTGTAACATACTTTAAGCTGCAATTTTACAAAAATTAAGAATTTGTTGAAACCACTAATTGTTATATTTATTCTTCTGCATATTAAAATAGGCACATAGTTTGTTTTCTTTTGAAAACATATTTGTAAAATAAATTTTTATATTTGAAGCTTTAGATTTAAAAAGTTGTTTAGTCACATACATATAATACATAAGGGGAAATTTTATGTCTTAAGGACTATGTGACACTCAACTAAAAATGAATTAAATAAAGTTATAAACCATTTAAGCACAGGGTCAGCCATAACTTCAAGTATCATGGTTGGATTTTAGACTATAAAAAAGCTATTTGCTTTATAATTGACCAATAAATCTTTTCTCCTCTGTGATGAGAGAGTAAAACTTCTCAGGAACGTTTTGTTTACCAGGCATAGTAATGCACTGTTCAGATACCAGACAATGACCTGCTTTTGAACACTATCTAATAATGTCTGATTTAAAAAAATAACTTGTCTAATAAAGGCATACAGATTCATTTCCCAATGTTTCAACCATCAGTTATTTATAATTAATCTATTGACATTTATTCCTTTACCTCAAGAGCTCTAGTGCCATGCTACACATGATAGGAGCCACATGATCTGAATTCAGCCCTACTTAGTGAAATTAGCTTGAAACCAAATCATTTTTAAAAGCTATCCATTTAGCTGTATTTGCTATTTATTGATTTTTATTTATAATTTATTGAGTTATGTACAACAATCTGTACATATTTAAATTGTCTATTTTTTAAGTTTTAAAGTTTTATTTATGTATAATTATTGTATACTAAAGTATGTTTTAAAAATTTCTTTTCTCTAACAGTAATATTTCATAGATTTTAATAAAAACATCTTGAGTACTCTTACTAGATTTATTCCTAAGATGTATATATTTTAAGAAGTATTTTGTTTTTAATATTTTCCAGCTGTTCACTGCTAGTTTTGAATAATACAACAGATTCTTACACATTGACATTGCAACCTCACACATGTTAAATTTATCTGGTCATTCTATACATTTTGTAGAGTGAGTCTATGATATTTTATATGAAAACAAGAATACCAAATGCAAATAAGAACAGTTTTACACCTAATATCGGACCTCTGTACCTCTCATTTTTTTTCTTACCTATTGCAGTGGTTGGACTATCCCAGAAAATGTCGAATAGAAGTGTTGAAAGCAGGCATCTATACCTTGTTTCTGATTTTAGAGGGGAATGATTCAGTCTACATGAAACAGATTGTTAGCAATAGTTTCTTATGGATGACGTTTATCAGATTTAAAAAGTTGCCTATTCATCCGAGCTTTCTAGAAATTATTAACATGAATATTTTTTGAAGCAGTTTTCAAGGGATGGGTGTGGTGGCAGTGGGTTAAGTTGCTGATTGCAACTCCAGCAACCGTTATTGGAGTGCTGGTTTGAATCCCAGTTACTCTGCTTTCTGATCCAGGTCCCTCTATTGCACATGGGAAGACAGTGGAAGATATTAAGATTAAATAGTGGCCGGCGCCGCGGCTCACTAGGCTAATCCTCCGCCTGCAGCGCTGGCACACCGGGTTCTAGTCCCAGTCGGGG